TGCTACATTAGGGTCCCTTAGAAGGCACAGTCAAAATCCTGTAGTTCCACAAGTTCCTTAAAGAGAGCATTCTTGTGAGTGCCCCAATGGGCTGATGTCTGTCTCGTCTTTACTTACCAGGTTTACACATCCTAGATGTTCTGAAAATGTTCACTCTCCTTTACAAAAGCATCGCCTTCTAGTAAGCAGAAAATAAAGTGAAGGCCCACAGCACACACACAGCAGTTGTGAGTTGCACTTTTAAACTCGCTCCTTAATCCACGCCAGGGTTTTCCATTGTTCTGGCTAATTCTTCATGCCGAGGACATATTATACTTGGGGGCACTGAATGATACGGGAAGAATGACCTTTCTCTGCTGCGTAATTGACTTGACTTTGTTCATAGGTTGAAACCAGCTCTTCCATTTCACCACAGTGTTATATCGGTGGCAGTTTTATTTAGGGAAAAAAAGCTTTCTCCTGCATGAACTTTTGTTCCAAATCAGTTGACTGGGCTGGTCAATGGCAGGACCCCCGAGAGGGTGTGGATTATCTGGTCCATCTTTTGTGTGGTGAAGGCTTAGATGCTGCTTCATGCTGGCTCATTCTCCCCGTGTATGGAAGCGCTACTCCAGGGACGACACCTGACTGAGCCCTGCCTTTGTCATGGAGATGCTTTCACCTGAGTGCTTCTATGGCCCAGAATGAGTTAACTAATACTTGACCTTCCAACAATGTTTCTCATAATCCCATCAGCAGATAGTCCCTTGCATCTGAGCCGTGCTGGGAGCAACTTTCCCCCAAATAGGTTATCACTTCCGCCCAGGGCCCCGGCTCCGGGCACTCAAGACCAGGCCAAGGCGGCGGTTCCCCAGGGTGGAGCCCTGCCTCTCGAAGCCCACGCTGCCGGCAGCTGCTCCCCTCATACGTGCCCGTGTGACTGAGCATGAGAGTCCCTGCAAGCTGTGCCTTCACGGTGAACTTCCTTCCGAGTATCGCCACCAGTTAATCCACCGGATGACCCGGTGCAGCTTCGTAACTCGGTAATGTTTTTCAGTGTTTTCTTAAGGATGACGCTTTACAAGTCGAGGCCTGAGCTTGCCTGGTCTGCGACCTCTTTGCCACGTCTGCAGTCTTTCTGAACAGGAAGGAAAGCCCGGGGACTGCGAGCGACTCCCTGCTTGGTGGCCCCCCCCACCCCCGCCAGGCTTCTTGTGCCCTCGAGCGCGGAGTGGCGGCAAGTGGGTGGCTTTCACAAGGGGAGTGGCCGCGATTTGGGAAGTCTAGCCTTCTGGGACGAGTTGGATGCTTCCCCTCCATGCCAGAGATGGTCTTCGGGCCCAGCGTGGTCCCGCAGAGGGGCAGGCGAGGGAGTGTGAGGCATGGCTGTGGGACGCCAGCTCCGGGGAAGCAGGCTGCACCAGCGTGTGCACTGGTATCTGTCAGCCCTCAGGGCAGGCCCCCAGCTCGTGGTCGGGGTCTTGTGTGGACACAGACATGAGGAAGGATGAAGACACTGCCTCCTTGTTCCGGTAGATATGTGTGTCTTTCCCTGCTTGCAGTTCCCCGACACCCAGCTTTCTGGCATCGCTGCCCTCCAGCCTAGGATGGCCTCCCCAGCACCTCCCTGACTTGCCACCCAGCCTTAACACTCAGCTCGCGCATCAGCTTGTCCCTCTGGGCGGTGTGCATCCTTGGCACACCCCCTCCTTTCCATTTGTGTTCCAAGGGCTGCCTCTGTATCTGTTGCCTGCCTCCAAGGCCTGATCTGGTTCATCTAGGAACTTGGTAAATGCCTGTGGGTGGGTGTCTTGTTTTCAGCAAGTCAGTTCCTCAGACCATTATGGCTGCCCTTGATCTGTGCACATCCCAAGCATCCTCTGTCTCAGAGTCTTGGCACCGTTGTCTGTGACGACGGCTGAGTGTCCCAGGGAGTTTTGACTGTGTTTCTTTGAAAGGCCTTTGAGTCTCTCTCTCTCTCTCTCTCTTAAAAAAGCAAACCAACAAAACCCAGACCAGCTGTGCCTTTTATGGTGAGCACTGTCCGTTCTGGGCACAGGAGATGGACAGAACCGGTGAGTGAAGGTGAGAAAGTCCACACACCCCACGGGTGGTGGGATCGTGTCGGCAAAGCCCAAGTGAAAATGGCTCAGCACCTCATCTTCAGTTTCTTAACATATTTTCCTACGAGTACATTTACTATAACGTCCTGAGTTTCTGAGCACCATGAAGAGATTTCATGATTGTAGTAAAGACTTATCTGTAGATTGTGTATATATCATAAACCGAGTGCCATAGACTCAAAACTCACTCCTCCTCAATCTTCCAGTGAACTTGTGCATAAACATATTTTTCTGCATGTAGAGAGTCAATATGTGATTTTGGTCTGAGTCTGGTTTCTGATACTGGCTCCACCACTTACTAGCTATTTGGCCTTGAACAAGTTACTTACATCTGAGAGACTCGATAGCTTCATCTGTATGGTGGGGATAATCCTAGCATTGGGTTCTCGGTGACATTGACTGAGGCACGGCTCTCAAGAGATGCCTTGCTAGAAGGACTAGGGGACGTCTCTGTGTAAGGGTCAGATCCATAGACCTCAGCTCCCCCCGCACACTGGCCACCCTGCATTATGGCCCTCAGGAAGGAGACTGAAGGTTACTTCTGGGAAGAATTTATGCAGGCTGACCTTTGAGGGGACTCCCCCCCAGTAACCAGCTAGGTCTGGTCTGATCATCCTGTAGCCAAACCCTGAGACCCAAAGCTTCCAGGCATGAGTGTAACTCTTCAACACGAACACCACCCAGCCATTGCTGGACTCGAGGAAGCCTCCACCAAACAAGGAAGGAAGGAACCCAGAGGCAGCAGAGACAAAGCAGGGAACAGAAGAAAACATTTTTTAAGTCTATAATCTTTACAAAAATCTAAAATAAGACATTGTATTCATGAAGTATAATTGGGATGCAGTTTAAAAAAGCATTCAGAAAATAAGAAAGCGCTCTTAGAAATAGAAGTAAGTTAGCCGGGCTTGGTGGCTCAACCTGTAATCCCAGCGCTTTGGGAGGCTGAGTCCTGTAGGTTCGAGACCCGCCTGGGCGACTTAGCGAGACCTCATCTCTGCAATAAATCCAAAAAGCAGCTGGGCGTGGTAGTGTGTGCCTGTAGTTCCGGCTACTTGGAAGGCTGAGTTGGAAGGATTGCCGGAGCCCAGCAGGTCAAGGCTGCGGTGGCCAGGAGTAGCCACTGCACTCCAGTCTGGGCGACGGAGTGAGACTCCAACTCAAAAAAAAACAAAGAAAAAAAGGAAGAGAAGTAAGTTACTATAGAGGTTAGAAGACAAAGTTGATGCCAACCCAAAAAACATTTGAAAGCAAAAGAAATGAAAACTAGGCAAGAGTAGTCCCGGAGGACCAGTGTCCAGCTGTTGGAGGTTCCTGGGGAGGGGACTTGGAGGGAAGGGAGGTAGGACACCTCAAGGGGACAGCCCGAGCTATTCCCAGAAGCGCCGTGTCAGAGGTCCTGGTTGAGAAAGGACTTAACTCATGCCTGTGGAGTGAGCAGGGGAGGGCACATGTCAAGAGACATAATTTTCAAATTGTAGCGCATAGGGATAAAGAAAAGATTCTCAGAATTCTACCTTAAAGAGGGTTGGAAACAAAGGTGCAGAGATCAGATGGCGCTGGTCTTCTAGCCAGCAATCCTGGCTAAAAAGTTATGGCAATAGAGTAATGGCTTTGAAATGGTGAGAAAAAAAATGATCTCTAACCTTATTTTCCATAACTTGCCAAACTGAAGTGTAAGACGGGAGGATACTAAGGGCCGAATAAAGGCATTTGCAGACACGCAAGATGTTTAGAATTTGACCTCACTTGCACCCTTTCTCAGGAAGGTTGTAGGCATATGCACGTGGGCAACAGGTAATAAAAGGAAGGCAGGATACGGGGCCCCTGACAGAGGAGACTTCCAGAACTGCAACTGTGCAGCTGACCTGAGAGCAGCCAGTCCATGTAGAACCTGACAGGATACCAGAGGAGAATGTCTTCAAGGAAAGAATACAACTTCCAGTTACCTGATGAGCTGGAACGATTGAAGGGAGGTTGGGACATACTTGAAATAAGTGCCTGGTACACTGAGTCAGAGCAATGATCAACTCCAGTAAAGCAAAATGTCCAAGAAAGGAAGCTTAATAGGACCCTCTATGGCCTGGTTGCAAGCCATAGTCACATAAAAATCATCAATACTGAATACAGATTTAACTAAAGGTGGAACTGCATTGGAAAGATGAGAAAGGGGCGTAGAGCAGGGGGTTGTGCAGAATGAACAATTTCTGTCTTCCAGGGTAGGAGGTCGGTCAACAATATTTAAAGCTGAAAACAAAAATCTAAAACTAGGCACGTCACCTTGGTATTTAAAGATAAGGAAGTAAATACAAGAAGAAAAGCTGGGAGGGCTGAAGGGTTGCCTGTGGAGAGGGGAAATTGGGAATGGTAGCAGAAGCCAGGCACAGTTTTTACACTTTTTTGGTATATTTTGGGATTGCAAATAAAAAAGTGAAAAATATGAAATGAGACAGTCCGTAAAGCACCTAGCCATGCCTCTCACAGAGAAGTGTGGAGTGCCCGGGAGCCACGGTGGCCCACTTCCTCTGCTATGGTGACAAGCCCGAGGCCAGCGCCACAGCCCTCCTGTGTCTTCCATTTCCCCCGTGCCCAGCGCGCTGGACCTGCTGACTCTGACGAGGGATTGACCTTGGCACCTCTGTCCGGCTCCCAGGCCCACCAATCTGTGGTTGCACAGGTGTGAATGGGAAGAAGCTTTCCAGTGTTGCCACTTTCTGAATCATGATGTTTGTGCCAGTTTCTAGCTTTTCACGAGCAGAGTCTTGAATTTTTTCCTTCTCTGTTGCCTGGTCACTTGCATTTCTGAGGTTAAATGAACGGCGTTGTCACACCTTGTCCAGACTGGCTCTCATCCCCTGACTAGCCCTGTCTTTGCCTGTTCCCGTCTCTCCCTGTGGCCAGGGCCGCAAGCTTCTCATCATCGGGACCACGAGCCGCAAGGATGTCCTTCAGGAGATGGAGATGCTGCATGCCTTCAGTACCACCATCCATGTGCCCAACATCGCCACGGGAGAACAGCTGCTGGAGGCCTTGGAGGTGAGAGCCCAAGAGGGCCTGCAAGGCAGGAGCCGAGGCCAGGGAGGCGCTAGGGCACCACACGGCTGCACCTGTGCTGGTTGCTCTGGTGACCTGGAGTGCAGGGCCTGGGGATATTACAGGTGGAGGGTCTGATCCAGGATGCCCGGAACTGGGAGTGTTTCCACATCAGACTCGTTCATGTTTGGAACACTGCATGATACTGACAGTTAGGCTGAGCATCCCCCATCCGAAAGCCTGAAGTCTGAAGTGAGACTTCCTTGGAGCATCGTGCCGGTACTCAGAGTTTCCAATTTTGGAGGATTTTAGATGTTGGGGTTGGGGATACTCAGCCTGTCCCTCCAGCTGTCTTCAGGAGCGAGAGGAGTAAGATGAGTTTGATGGTGGAGTAACCTCCCTTCCTGGTTGTGGACAGCATACACACTTGGAGGCTGAATCCCTCACTCCCTGCGTGAGCAATGCACGTAGATCGTATGGGCCAGAAACTTGGGGGGTGGGGGTAAGGTCATCCCTAGCAGACAGAGCAGAGGTTCATAGTGGCTTTTAGCACAAGTCCTTGCATTTAATACATTGGAGCAATGGTTAAAGCCTTGGAACATTCAAAACTAGGGAAGAAAAGGAACTTGGTTAGCAAGTTTATAATATAGACGTGTTTTCTTAATTTTTTAAAGGATGGCAAAGTCTTTCATTTTTTAAAAAGTATCTTCTTAAACTGTCAATGAATATCAAGTGCACAAATGACTTGAGGTCTCTTGGAAATATGACTAGTGAGTTGTTTAGCTGCCGTAGAGTCAGTAGGCTTCTTAAAGTCCTCAAGTCTCACAGAACCGGTGCATGTTCCCAACAAAGCAGAAACTATCTATATGAGACACATCTCTAGGTTGCCTGTTTAGGCAGCTTTTGTGCCAGGGTTGAGTAAGAATTACATTTAGTATGCTTTGACATATGCAGATTGTTCCTAGAAAGGAATGTTAAAAGTTTTAACTTATATTCATTATGAATTGAAGCTGTTTTTTTCTCCTCAGCAAATATTTGCTTAAGTTATCATGGAGGACTGTAAGAAAACAGGGTTTAGGCCGGACTCGGTGGCTTAGCCTGTAATCCCAGCACTTTAGGATGCCGAGGCGAGTGGATTGCCTGAGCCTGTGGGTTCAAGACCTACCTGGGCAACTTGGCGAGATCTGACAGGATACCAGGGGAGAATATCTTCAAGGAAAGAACACAACTTCCAGTTACCTGATAAGCTTGAACGATTGAAGGAAGACTTGTGTTTGTGATTGAAGGGAGGTTGTGTTTGGGGCACACTTACAATAAGTGCCTGGTACACTAAGAGAAATGATCAACTCCAGTAAAGCAAAATGTCCAAGAAAGAACATTAATAGGACCCTCTATGACCTGGCTGCAAGCCATAGTCACATAAAAATCATCAATACTGAATACAGATTTAACTAAAGATGGAACTGCATTGGAAGGATGAGAAAGGGGCGTAGAGCAGGGGGTTGTGCAGAATGAACAATTTCCGTCTTCCAGGGTAGGAGGTCAGTCAACAGTATTTAAAGCTGAAAACAAAAATCTAAAACTAGGCATATCACCTTGGTATTTAAAGATAAGGAAGTAAATACACGAAGAAAGGCTGGGAGGGCTTAAATAAAAAATAAATCAAAAATTAGCCAGGCGTGATAGCGCGCACCTGTAATTCTAGCTACTTAGAAGGCTGAGGCGGAAGGATTGCCTGAGTCCAGCAGGTCGAGGCTGTGATGGCCAGGAGCGTACCACTGCACTCCAGCCTGGGTGACAGAGTGAGACTCCAACTCAAAAAAAAAAAATAAATAAGAAAAAGAAAACAGGTTTAAAATAACAATTTTCAGCCAAGCACAGTGGCTCATACCTGTAATCCCAGTGCTTTAGGAGGCCAAGGCAGGAGAATCCTTTGAGACCAGGAGTCCAAGACCAGCTTGGGCAACATGGCATGACCTTCTCTCCACAAAAAATAAAAAAAAAAAACTAGCCGAGCATGATGGCACACACCTGCATTTCCCACTACTCCGGAGCCTGAGGCAGGAGAAC